CTTTGAAAACAGACAATTTTAGTAGCTTTCAGGTATTGTCGCTTATAGCAAAACGAGCAAAATTAAGTCTAAATTTTACTGTTGATGTTAAAACTTTCTATGACTACGATGAAACATGTGCCTTGGTAAACAATGATAAATTTGATATGTTTGGGTTAACTGTACGTGCTGCACCGACTTTGGATGAAAGGTGTGATTTGTCCACGGAATTGTTTGCTGTACGTTTTGGCGTTTTAAAAAAGCAATTAGTACCATATACTTTACCAAACTTATTCTTTCCAGCTTCAGAGATTGGGGTAACAAAAAACTTAAAAAATGAAAAGTTATTGTACTTATCATTGAAACAACTTTAGATTCCTCCAACGATTTTTGTTAAAGGTCCAGATCCGATTGGCCAGGATTGGTGGAATCTGTTTCAAATTTATGATGTTTACACATGGTTAGCAATGTTACTTGTTATTTGTCTGCAGGCGGTCTTTATTTGCATTGTCACAAAATTTGAGCAAAAATTGGGCAAAAGTGTCACAGTTGACATAAAAGAGGTATAAGTTTACTACGATATCATTAGGAATATATATCCCAAACATACTATATAAGGCAAATCGGCCCAGTAGGAATCAGTTCAGTCAGAACTGGCCCAGTTGTCCGATCGGCCCGGTTATCCGTGCGCCTAATTGATTTTGTTTATCATCGGATTCAACCAGAAAAAAAAATAGAATTTGAAGGCAGTCCCTCTTTCAGTTTATGAACCTATGTTGTATTAAAATTATATTACAATACAATTAGAAAACATTGTAGTCACCAGCACTGAGTGGGTTCATATCTACTATAAACTTCAATTAACCAGTGTTAAGTTAGCTATGCTACTTGTTTTTGTTTTCTTTAAGCCAATAACGAAAAAGAAGAATTTTAGATAATTTGGAAGTTCCTCCGAATTCAACTTTTTCAAGCATTACCCTTTAAAACCAAACTTAAAGCAGCGCAGTTTACAATATGGTTATTTGCTTTCCTTCAAGGATCGATTATGCTTGGATTGTATTCAGCATGTTGTTTATCGTCATTGATCAAAGAGCCAAATTATGGGAAAATTGCTAGTGAGCGTTATGTGTTCGATGAGTTAGAGAATAAAAGAAGAAAATTGGTGTCATGGGGACCGTTACACCAGTTTAGAGAACTACTGTTTAATCAAACTGAACAAAAATATGTGGAGTTACAAAAGGCTATCGGGCGGAATGGGTTAGAGACATTGCCTACGGTTGATGGTAAGACAACTGATCTCTAAGGCTGACTTATGAATTATTGAATAAGCCTATACTTCTGTCACTTTTTAGAAAACGTAAACGTAAAAACATAGGCAAGGTTAGGCTTGCATTTTCAGCTTACGTTCCTTAATTTTAGGCTTGCTAAACTCCTTCTTTCACAAAGGCAACTACATTTTTGACTACCCAGCCTCAGAGATTGGCCTACAACTACTCGGTTACTGCGAAACGCTTGCCGCTGACATTTTTCTGCCGCCAGTATCCCGTCGGTTATTAATGTCAAAAAATAACTCTTACACTGCTGTCATTAACAAAGTAATAAGAGAAAACAAATTCCAAATACGGGCGATATACGAACGATACGCTGCGCGCAAACTCATGTCAAAATGCACTAGGTTTCACATTGGACGTCCTTTACGTAGGTTGAGTATAATAGTAAAATGTCGTATCCATAAATATCATTGTAGAGAGGAATTGTTATGCAGAAGTTTTACTTAAATTTAATTGTGGTCTATTGTAATTACAATTTTAGCCTTGAACTTCTACCTTGGTTTGCTCGTCATATGCGTATCAATAATGATTATTTCTCTTTTTGTACTATGTGTTGAACGGCTTTACAAACGACGTAAAAATCAAGTACAGAGGCTCAAACAGTAAAAGAATCAAGCACGTTGTAAAATAAATTTAATACAGCTAAAATATCTGAACTGGGTATTAAATTTTGTTGCCTAGCTTTGTTACAACAGTAATAAAAATTGTATTTAAAGCGTGTATTCTGTATAATTCATAACTAAAATAATAAAATGTAAATTAAAAAACATATTTTTAAAAGATTACGAAACATCCTTAGGAAACGTTTTAGCGCCAAAAATCCGCTCATATTTTTTGTGAAAAATAATTTATATTAAAATTGTTTGATTTTCTTCCGACCAGAGTTCTTTACGTACCGAACCGGACCAAATGCGAGAGTTCGGAATTTGAATTTTGTTTTTTTCGCACTTTTTTTCTTACCGTTTGGACCGGTCTGAAACTTCTTCTATCTCTGTATTTGAAATGGTGCTACCCCTTCTAGATGATGTTAGTTTTTGGATATCTATAATAGGTTTCGAGATATGAGTTTGGCGGGAAAAATAAATTCAAAAATCCGGGTCGTCCGGCCCGGACCCAAATGGTAAAATGTTTTACGACAGAACGCCAACGTAGCCAACATCTCGTGGTTCTTTAAAGTACAGCTATGATTTTCAAACCAATCCGTTCAAAATTTTTGTTTGCTTACTAACCCGCATGAAAAGTGCAACAAAAAGGTCAACAAAAAATAAAAACGTACATATATTGATGCTTGGTAAAGATGAACAACCATTCGTACTTTCGACCAGTTCTAAATGTTTTATTCCATCCACAACAACCACTAATATTTCCATGTGCTTACCATAGGAATGGCTTAATGAGCCCAAATTGTGCCTATCCTGGCATAATGGTGGAGGTACGCAGCTTTTTGGTGTTTGATTTTAAATTTTAGGGAGGGTAAAAAGTGTAGAGCAAAGTTCTTTAAACTAAAACTATTAATTTAAAAAGGGATTTGTAACATTTCAGGTTTTATCACTAATAGCAAAAGAAGCAAATTTATAACTCAATTTTACTATAGACATGCGGACGTTTTTTGATCATGATGAAGTTTGCTCAAGGTTAAAATCTGATGGATTAGATATGTTTGGTTTAACCTTACATAGAGAAGAATCACTAGAAAAGAATTTTGATCTGTCCACGCCTATATATGAAGTACGGTAACTATGAAATTATATAGGTGGTCGGGCCGGGCCAGACTTTGGCAAGGCGACACACGTAGGCCATAAAGCCTAAACCATTGGGTTCCCTTTAAACTAAGCTTGTGGGCCAAACCAAAAATTTTTAAAACCAAGCCCGTGGGTCGGACTAAACCTTGTGGTTAGCCTTTTTACCAGTCTATTTACGCGTTGTTTCAGATGAGGCCAGTGATTTTTATTAAAGCGCCTGGTCCCATTGGCCACGACTTATGGAATTTGATAACAATATATGACACTTACATATGGCTAGCAATGTTTCTGGTTATGTCTTTAGTATCAATGTTTATCTAATGTGCTCTTGCATACGAAAAACGTGTTGGTAGACTATCTACAAATAAAGAGGTAGGCTAGGACCTCAATAGATAAGTTAGAGTGCTATCTGCATATGAACAGGCAGAGTCAAGTAGGTGACTAAGGACTGCGGTTATATGCATAGAGTATTGTTTTTTCTTAGATATATTTAGATAATATACTTTATTAACATGTACTTTTCCAAATTTAGATATTATGGAACCTAGTCCGAATCCAGCTATTCGAAGCAGTCAAGTTTGAATCCAATAATAAGGCAGTACGTTTTTGTGTACTAGTATTTGCATTTTTTCAAGGATCTTTGATGTTTGGCTTATATTCATCATGTTGTTTGTCTTCATTAATCCAGATACCTTATCTGCGGCATATCAAAACTGAGCAACATGTTTTTGAAAGGTTGCAAAATAAAAAACGGAGGTTAACATCATCAATGCATAAGTTGAAAGAAGTGATTCTTAATCGTACTGAGCAAAAGTATTTGGAACTACAAAACGTATTAGGAAAAGACGGGTTGGAGCATTACAACGGTACTGAAGGTATGTACTAAATAACAGTTCCTATCTCTTTTTTCTCTCTCGTTTTTTTCTCACTCTCTGTATGTCTTTGTCTCTCTATTTCTTTGTTTCTTTTTTTTCTATATCTTATATTTTCTTCTATGTTTTAGTTTTTTTTGTTTTTGTAGGTATTGTAAAGGTACTTCAACATCATTTATACTACAATTTTTATATTGTTTCTCATTGTCTTATAATGTTTGTTTTAAAAGTCGTTGTACCAAATCGCTTGTCTTAAATTTCGGTTATCAAAGCTTCCGGCCTTATGCTGTTTTTAATGTTCATTTTTACTTGTGTAAAGGACATGTATTTACCTCCCTTTAGAATTTTCTTTGATAGTATGCGACTCTGTCTCTGAATCTGTAACCAATAAACAAAATGTCACAAATTTTATTAAAGCTAAGATCTAAAACAAAGTCGAAGCCAGACTTAAAGCCACTCCAGTAAGTTTTAAATTTGGGAATTCTGATTTCAGCCATTCTCAACTCATTTCATAAAAATCGCGCCTATATTTATAACTTTCCAACTTCACATATTGGTTTAAGTTTGCTTGATCATTGTGACACTTTATTGGCTGATATCACCTTTCCTACTGAACGACTTCTGATGCTGTCAAAACACAACCGATATACAGCACTGTTTGACGACATTATTGAAAAGAACAGATTGAAGATACGATCAATATACAAACGCTACACCGCTCGAAAGTTTTCTCCAAAATGTACCAAGTTTAGCGTTGGGGATCCTTTACGTATGTTTTTGAAGTCTTTACGGTTTATTAAATTCTTCTATCAAAGCAATGTTGCAATACCATTAGAAGATATTGTAGTTATTGACGGTTCTGTCTTTAATAAAAATTAAGATTTCAGGTTTAAACTTCTACACTGGACTACTAATTATATGTAGCATAATACTGACTGCTTCTTGCCTAGCTTTTTTAACCGAGAGTATTTACCATCATTACTACAAAAGTCAAAGATAAATAAATTTATATGTCAACAAAATCAAGATCAACATAAAAGTAAAAAATATTAAAAATCACAACAATAATTCCTAAACTATGCTTGTTGCTCTTCTTCCTTTCCCTTCTCTTCATTCAAAATTAAGTTTTTGGCTTCAATTGGTAAGATCTCTGCTTGTTCTATCGTACTAGGCAGCTTTGGACTAGCACCCTGAGCCCACTCTTGAATCTCCGCCTCTCCGAACAATGTGAATACAATTGTACTGGAGAAGGTAAGTGCTCCGACAATATAAAACACTGTGCGCCATTCTTCTACCGTACCCTGAAAATGAAGCATTTAGTGAAAAGTGGACAAAATGTCACATAATTTATTGATTTTTGAAAAGTTAAGGGATTTAACAATATATAGTGTCACGAAAATTATTGATTTTGACGAAATTTCACAAAAATAATTGATTTTGATGAATGTCACAAAAATTTTTGATTTTGACGAAATGTCACAAAAATTGTTGATTTTGACAAAATTTCACAAAAATTATTGATTTTGACAAAATGTCACAAAAAATATTAATTTTGACGAAATGTCACAAAAACTATTAAATTTTTAAACCTTTATAAATATCGCTGTTTGCGTGAAAAACACGTATTTTACAATAAATATAACTTACATGAACTCTAATGACAGAAACCAGTAAAGGCAGAGCCATAGTACCACTGATCAATATAGCAGTTGATATTGAAGTTAAGAATCCAGTATAAATTGGAGCTAGAGATACTAAGGCTGTAATAGCACCGCTCGAGCTTGTGCCGGTACCAATGGCCATAATAGTCATAAACAGTATGGTCAACATTGGATTCGAACAATCCGAAAAGTAGCCAATCAGGATGAAGAAGGTTCCACATGACATTGATCCTGAAGGATTCTTGGTTAGATTGAAAGGCAGAGTGGGATAGAGTAGAGAAGAGTAGGGTAGGGTAGGGTAGGGTAGGGTAGGGTAGGGTAGGGTAGGGTAAGATAGGGTAGGGTAGGGTAGGTGTAAAAACGCAACAATGAAAAACAATTAAAATACTTACCAATAGCATGTGAAATACGACAACCTCTAGTGTGAGTTAAAATCTTTTTTCGCTTCAACCGGTCGATAAAGATAGCCCAAGTTATTTTAGCGAATATTTGGAAAAAAGGAGGTATTGAACTGTAGAAACCGTTCTGAACACAAAGGTTCCATTAAATATACACAATGTTTGGATAAGCACCTACCTCCTTCATATTCAAAAACAGAACTTCTTTAAAAAATATTGGCATAAACAACGATACCATGGCAATATACAGTCCAAACGTAAAATGACAATATAAAGCTGATAAAACCGCCCTTGATGTGAAAATTTGTTTGAATGGTATGGAAGGTCGTTTTCCATGCAATTTCTTGTTATGTGAATGAATATGTTGTTCTAGGTATTCACGCTCACTGGTCGATATTACTTTAGACTTGGAAGGAGAGTCGACCCCAACAAAGTGGAATATCGTTAGCCAAACGAACATTAAAATGGCTGAAATTGAGGTTTTTATGGATTTTATGACATATTTTTAGAGAATTCATGCAATTTTAGAAATTCAAAATTTAAAAAAATTGTTGAAATTTTTCAGTTTTTTTAATTTTTTGAAATTTTTAAGTTTTTTAAAAGTTTTTCGTAAATATGAGACTTACAAGTAGAATAAAAATTTCCAGCCCATCGAAACACAGAAGCACAAAACAGAGCTGTGACTGGTGGAAATAGAACACCAGCAATTTGAGATCCAATGGTAAATAAGGCTATGGCTTGACTCTTTTCGTGATTTGGTACCCATCTACTGATAAGAGAGAATATTGACGGTGATATGAAGCCCTGAAAAGTAAAAAATTACAAAAAAATCAATGTTTACGTTTCGTCAACTCGAAAAATCAATATTGACATTTCGTCAACAAAAAAAATTAAAATTTTGAAAAAACCAATAGTGACAATTCGTCTACTAAAAAACGTAAAAATTACTAAAAAAAGTCATTATTGACATTTTGTCAACTCAAAAAATCAATATTGACATTTCGTCAACGCAAAAAATCAATATTTACTTGAAAATCCACACAAAAAATAAGAATTTTGCAAATAAATCAATAGTGACATTCCGTTTACCTCGCCCAATCCAGAAACGAATCTAGCCGCCCAAACCGACCAAAAGTTGAAATACATAGCCAAAGTTGGAAACAGAAGGTTCATAAGTGAAAAAGTCAATGTAGCCACTTTAATCAAAGTCACTGGAGAATACCTGTCAGCCAGGTAACCGGCTGGAAGCATGGTTATTATTGAACCTAAGCTCATTGATGACAGTAGCAGGTTTTGCTTGTGCTGACTCCAGATTATGTCACCCTAAAGCAGAGTAGACGTTAAAGTATAGAATGGTTAATTTGAGGGTTCTGGGCTAGGGCTCTGGACTAGGGCTCTGGACTAGGGCTCTGGGCTAGGGCTCTGGGCTAGGGCTCTGGACTAGGGCTCTGGGCTAGGGCTCTGGGCTAGGGCTCTGGGCTAGGGCTCTGGGCTAGGGCTCTGGGCTAGGGCTCTGGGCTAGGGCTCTGGGCTAGGGCTCTGGGCTAGGGCTCTGGGCTAGGGCTTTGGGCTAGGGCTCTGGGCTAGGGCTCTGGGCTAGGGCTCTGGGCTAGGGCTAAGGCTAAGGCTTTGGGCTGGGGCTTTGGACTAGAACTGTATACTTACCCCATAGTCATTCAGTGCTTTACTATTACTAAACTTGTTGGTAAACCCTCTTCTTAACGCATTACACTTTATCGTGTATTCGTTTAGGATCTCTCTACCACGTTGTAAAGGTTCATGTTTGTGAGCAGAACTAGCGTGTTCTAATGCTACTGCTGTACTGTTTACCATACACGTCATACTCATACCTAAAAATTGCTATGAGAAATAACATGTATACGGCTTTTAGAGTTTAGTACGGTGAACTAAGGCTAGGCTAGTAAAACAGGTATACCAAAACTTAATTTTTTAATTTTACATAAAGTAGGTTTTAAAATTAAAATTGGCATTAAACTTACCCAAACTTCCTCTCATATAGGCCAAAACACACATTCCAGACATCAATGATATGATAATGTACATACGTTGAGAATAAAGATTAAAAAATACTGAAAAGATTATTTTTCAAAGATTTAATGTAAGGTAGCATAGAGTAGGGTAGAGCAGGATAGCTAGGATAAGATAGTAAAGAGCTTTCAACTACTTATGTGAAGCAAGCTGTCTATTTTCGTATATATAAAAATACAAAAAAGGCAAAAAGATTTTGTACAGAATTATTTAAACAAAAGTATTTGTTATTTTAAAATTTTAAGTTTTTCTGTTTTAAAATAACTTACAATGAGCTTCGTCGTCAGAACCCATGTTTCAAAATATTACCACAGTAACGTTCTTGTAATAAAATAAAAATGAATTTCAAAAACTAAAAGTTGAGATTAATAAATAGCTGTGTACCCGGTGATATCTCTACAGTTGAACACTATAGATATGAGCTGAAATAAAACATTGTTATTGCAAGTTATTTTATGAAGGTATTGTGGTAAAACACGTAGCGTAGTAATGTAATGTAAAAAAACAAAGTAAATAACATGACAAAATGAAGATTTCAATAATCAAATATCATCAAATTCTATATTACTGTATGTATTAGCTACTCCCTGCTCTTTGATAATTACAATAAGCTGAATGCGTTTAGAAATTTGCACGTAAAATAAAATGAATAATAATAACATTGTTTTAATGTAGCAACCGGAAAGTCATTGAAATAATAGCATAGTAATTAATAGATTATTCGATCCAAGGATCATATTTAAGTGTGAAAAGCAAAAGCTAAAAAATAAATTTAAAATTACACTTTTAGCCAAGCGCCCTACCCATTGAGCTCTACCACACACCCCTGGCGATAGCGCGTTACCCTAGACCCCTAGCCCAGAGCCTTAGCTTTAGCCTCAACTCTAGCCTCAGTCATGGCCTCAGCTCTAGCCTCAGCTCTCCCCTCCCCGGAGTTCCAGGGCTCTAGCCCAAAGCCCTGGCCCAGACCCTAGCCTCATCATTTGCCGCACCCCTAGTCTCACTCCTAAATTTAGTTTTATTTACAGCTCTAGCTCTAGCCTCAGCCCTATATTAGCCACCCACATCTTTTGTAAGATTTTACTTTTGGGATACGCTTCTCTTGTTATAACCCATGCCCTAATAATGAAATAACTCCCAATTTATATGTTTTACCGCGCCTTCAGATACAAAGCGTAAATGCAACTCTCACTCTACTATTAAGCATTAATTTTTTTAGAAAACCAATTTCAAACTAACTTACTCTTTTCTACAAAAAATGTAAAAATCTTTTTCACCTTTCTTTTTAAGACCAATATGCCAAACTTAAGTCCTACATACATTATTGAAACTACGTTTAATTCAATCCCAAAATCCTTGCCCTAACTCCACGTTAACATTAATATAATTGCGAGGACAATGGAATTAACCTTAAGCCTCATTAGTAAAAAGCACATTGAACTCGTGTCTCACAAAAAGCAAAACAAAGAAAAAAGAGAGTGACAGAGGGGAAAAATGTGGCCAGAAGAGCCTAAACTACACACTACAAATATAAATTTTGTTGTTACTATAAACTACAATTGGTTTCAAAAGAGTAGTTTAAAACGTCACAAAGTTAAAAAATTTAAGTTTAGCCTTTTTTTAGCCCTAGTCCAAAACCCTATTCCAGAGCCCAAGCCTAGAGTTGTAAAACCCATGTCAAGTTCTAGCAAAGAAGCTTTAAGTCAAAGTACTAGCCCAGTGCCCTAATCACAGCCCTAGCCTCAGCTCTAGCACTTCAATCTTAGCCTTTCAGCCCTAGCCTTTGAAAGCTAGCCTTTCAAGCCTAGCCTTTCAGCCCTAGCCTGAACCCTAGCCTAAGCCAGCTTCAGCTCTAACCTTAGCTCTAGCCTCATCTTTAGCCTCAAGCGTAGTCTCAGGCCTAGCATCAGCTCTAACCTCAGCCTTAGCCTCGCGCCTAGCCCAGAGCAATAGTTTTCTTAAAAACCGTAAAACAAGCTAAAAATTTATATGGATGACAAATTGTAATATACCCAAACAATATGAATGCCATTTTTAATTAAAATGTGTGACCAACTGTGAAAGCCTTATATGTAAATTCTAGAGCGAATGTACTACTTAGAATTTACATTAGTATCGGAGAGCTAAGCACAATCGTTAGACTGTTCACCAGGTGAAAGAATCTACACCTGGCATGGTATTATAGGGTGCAAGACATAAATGTTTTGTTACAAATGATAATATACTATTTTACAATAGAGTTCAAGATGTTCTACCTGCTGGAAATTAAGCTCGCGGTAGGGTTGGACGTAAGCTAAACCTTTAGCTAGGTCTTAGACTAAAGCTTAGGCTAGTGCTTAGGCTAGGACTTGAGTTAGGCCTTAAACTAGGATTTGAGCTAGGCTATGAACTATGGCTCAGACTAACCTCTATTTTACTGGATTTAGGCTAAGACTTAAGCTAGTGATTAGGCTAATTGTAAGACGTACGCCAGGCTAATAACATAGGTCAAGCCAAGTCATGTGCTGCTCTCTATTTGGCATTATGTTCCCTACTATAATATTATATATGGATACATAGCAATTAGATTAAATTCACGTTTAGTACTTTGTCCTTAAATTCTATAAATGTTCCAATAAGTTTAAATTAGTCGTCTTGAACGTCAAATGGGATCACACATCTAATATCTAATATCCTGAAAGAAATGTTAATCTAGTTTTTACATTTCATAATAATCTTACAATGTTCTTTCATAAAAAATAAAAAGTAATAACTGGCAACAAAAGTTTAATCTTCTATTAAAGTAGAGAAAAAAACTGTATTATTGGACTGTATCTTAAATTTTATGCCAAAAATTCCAAATTCTGATCAATTTGAAGAATTTGCCTCAACTCAACTATTAAAAAATTGCTCTAGTTCTAGCCGTAGCCAAAAAAAAACAAAGTAACACAACATAAGCCTAGAGTAGGAAAGAAAGAGGAAAAAATATAGCTTTCATTGCAAAAAACAATAAAATTTTCGAACGTTGCAAGGACAAACTTTAGTCTATGTTAGCTTTGTATATGACTCACTCTGTACTTTAAAAAAGCATACCAATGTTCCTTGCAAATTTCTCTAAATATGGTCTTAAATATCAATAAAAGATTGCTCCATATGTAAGAGTAACCCTAGCTCTAGCTCTAGCCTCTAGCTCTAGCTTTAGCTCTAGTTCTAGCTCTAGCTCTAGCTCTAGCTGTAGTTGTAGCTGTAGTTGTAGTTGTAGTTGTAGTTGTAGCTCTAGCTCTAGCTCTAGCTCTAGCTCTAGCTCTAGCTCTAGCCTTAGCTCTGCCCTAACCCTATTGGTAAAAAAATAAAAATAATGATAAAGGCAAAAAAAAAGATTCCTCATCCCCATTTCACTGTACACTGCCTGACAAAATTTGAAAATTTGACGTTCCTTTAGCATTTGTAAAAAGTTCACCTTACAAAATGTGAACTCAACCCGTCCTAGTTTTATATATAACTGAACAAAGAAAAACTTTGAATTTAAAAATGTCCAATTTGACCACCTGCAACTCTATTTTTAATGTCATTACAAGTCGAAAACCCTCCCAGAAAAAAATTTTCGAAAAAAGTTGAACTTGGTCCCCCCTGTGGGTTTTCGGAAAAAAATTTTTCGACCCCCGTTCCCAGACCAAAAGTGCCCGCCCGGCCCTGGTCAGGAATGTTGCTAAGAGAATGAGTAAGGGTGGATCTGCATATACCCCTCTTAAAGTAAAAACAAATGAAAAATTTTAAAAAATTTTGAAAAATGAGTGCACAAACCCTAAATTTTTTTCTATCCCCCCCACCTACAAAAAAAAGTATAACGATGCTCCTGCGACTAGCCTAGCCTAAAGCCTTAAAATTTATGTCATAATCCCATAAAACTGCCATAATACCTAACGTTTCCTAAAAATAACGTCACTTTTCCGATTTCGAACTCTCCCACCCAACTCGTATATTTACTGAATATAAATGAAATGTCCAAACGGCTTCTTTTAAGAAATATTTTTTTTTGTTTTTGAGAGAGCTTATTGCTTTTCCAATTATAAAATAACTCTGTCCAGACATTACATTTATGGATTGGAATTGTTTATCCGAGAAAACATTAATATGTTCGTTTCTATAAGGAAGAGAAAAGGAGGCTGGGGATAAAAAGGCAGTCTTTGAAAGGGCTAACTAGGCGATATTAAAAGCCCGAAAGTACAAGGTGCGCAAAAAGTTTTGTTACACGGTTTTATAATCACCCTATATTAAACTTAACCTTTATCCCAAACCTAAGCTTACTATGCTTAAACTTACTAAGCCTTTGCCTACTAAGCCCTTGCCTATGAAGCCTCTGTCTACTAAGCTAAAGCCAACGAAGCTTATGACAACTAAAGTTAAGCCTACAATTAATTACTAGGCCTAGACCTAGACAGTTTTGGTTTACCAATTTTAGACGTTCTGAAGCTAATCCAGTAATTCTAAACCTATTAAAGCTAGGCTTACTAAATTTAAATCTGCTCAGTCTACGCCTACCAAATCTAAAGCTTAAGCTTACTACACCTAACCCTACTAAGCCTAATCCTACTGAACATATTTTTATTAATCCTAGTTATAAAACCTAAGGCTTCTAAGCCTAAGCCTACTGTGCCAAAGATTACTAAGCCCAATATTAGTAAGCCTAAGCTAAAGCCTGCCAGCAAAAAAGACTTTTTAAAAATTTATCTTCAGTCCCAATCAAATTTGACACGTTTTCCCTATTGTAATAATATTCTATATTTAAAAAAGACATAAAACAAACAATGTGTAATAGCCTAACAAAACAATACATATTTTGAAAAAATTTTTATTGATACAGACAATACTGAAGATTGAACAATTTTTCTTGAAATAAATGTTTTCAAAAAATTGGTTTTTCGTGTAATGTCACCACTTTACCTAACTTTACAAAATAAAATTTCTGAGAATCGCATGTACTTTTATACTTTCTAAATTAAGATATATACATACCAATCCCGGCCCGGCGCCAAGCCAAAACATATTTTAAGAATTTCAGTCCGCGTTGGTACATATAAGCCCAAGGCCCAGTTCACAAGTCTACTCTAGCCTAAACTTCTTCGACTAAAAAAATGCTCCACAAGAAGTAATGAAGCTAAAAATCTCAATTGATAAAATATAAACCAGCTATAATAAAGCTTACCCTTCTGAAAAAATTAAGAAGTAAAGCAATGATACTTGTTACAATTCATTTCCTCAAGCTATGAGGAAAAAACGTGTGAAGGTTATCTCGCTTTCAGTGCTATGACAACCAGCACGGCCATGGAATACGTTAATAAAAAAAACAAAAGTATAACATGTTTTTGTATTTTTTAATTTTACATGATTGTAAAAGTTACAAAAGGTCTTTATTGTACTTTTTGTTTCAGTACAATTTTGTGTACAAAAGTTGTAAAATTAAAAAAAATTGTTTTTGTAGGCTAGAAAAGAGAAGTTTGTATGTCAAATAAAAGTGCATTTTTAACCACAAGTGGCTCGACTTTAACATGGTAAAACTGTTGTTATAGTTGTCTTTAAAAAATTTAAAATTAAACAGGTGTAACGTTCAACTTTTTTTATAAATTTTTTTCTGAGGATGGGGGTAGGGGAAGTGTGGCCTACGCAAGGTGCAAAATTTGCGTAGGCCACATACTGTATTCACGAAAATTGTAACATATTAAAGTATAAATTAGAGTATTGTAACATATTAAAGTATAAATTAAGAATTAGTATATAAGAAGTATATATATACATAATACACTCCAAAGAATGTTCAATAAATTTCTTTATGTCCTTACTAATTTGCACGTACTTGACCTCATTATAGTATAAAAAAAGCAATTTTCAAAAACTTAGTAATACAACACGTATTTTACTTACAACACACTAGTAGGCATAGACTTGATATGATTAGTATGCTTACCCTTAATAAGCATTATCTTTGTGGACTTATGTTAGGCTTAATAGGCTTAAGCTTAGTATGTTTAGTTTTAGTAAACATTGGCTTTTAGACTTAGACTTACTAAGCTTAGTATGCTTAGTAAGCATAGGCTTAGTAGATTTAGGCTCACTAGAGTCAAGCTTAGTAAAGTACTGCCTAGTAAGCATAGACTCAGTATGCTTACTCTTAGTTGTTTTAGACTTAGTAGGCTTACTCTTACTAAAGATTTGGTACACTCAGTGTTTTGCCCGGACCGGTCCGGAGCGTTTTTCACCGGTCCGGTCCGGCGATTTTTTGCGTCCGGTCCGGTCCAAACTTCAAATTTTTGGGTCCGGTCCGGACCGGTCCAAACCCAAAATTTTTGGGTCCGGTACAGTCCGCAAAAAAATTTTTTTTAATTTTTAAAAAAAGCAAGGATCGCTAAAACTGCTTTCTTTTTGCTTAAAAACTCCTAAAAATATGTTTTATTTGCAATTTTTAAAACAGTTTTCTTAAAATAAAAAAAAAAATTTTCTTCGGTCCGGGTCCGCAGGTTTCTGGGTCCGGTCCGGACCGGACCAGACCGGACCCGTCCGCGGACCGGACCGGTCCGGCAAAACACTGGTTACACTCAAGCTGAGTACGCATAGGCTTTGTAAGCTGAAGCCAAAGTTACAAATAAATTTCACCGTGCTCTATATAATATTTTATAACACCAAAAACCACCAAATACTCTCTAATTTTGTACTGCAAAATACAAAATTACATGTTACAATAACAAAAAATAACTGACAATTTTATATTGCAGAATGCTACTTGTTACGTGCTAATTCACACCCAAATTATACTAAATACGTGTAGTTTGCAAATGGCAAAAAACAGTTATAAGACGTAGTATTTATATGCTTTGTAGTATAAAATTATGTTGTAAATTATAACCAACATAGTAACTGCAAAACTTTTCTTCTTCCATTATCCCACCTACTTCTACAAAACTTATTGTTGTTTATGTTAGTCTAAACATACGGAACATTTATTACCATATTTTACAAAACAAATCACAAAAAAAAATATTTTTTAACAAATGTTACAAAACCAAAAGTATTCGAAGATGGAAAAGAAAAATTGGTTTTAATTGTCTTGGCCACACGACTCTCACTGCATTGTTTGCTCAAAGTGTCACTATGAATATTTGACGAGTATATAAAGTCTTAAAAATATAGTTTAAATTTGTAAGAAAGCTTAAAGACGCAGTTTCAACTTGTACGATATGTTACAAACAAAGCTAGTATTTGTAAAATACGACATGGGTTCCTGTTTCCCGAAATGATAAAATAAATTTGAAATTAAATGGAATCATTCCAACGTGATAACCTAGTAGCTCTGAGATCATGCTGAAAAGTACGTTAAGACGAGAGAGAAGAACTTCCACTATCAGAAATTGAACAAGGTACAAAATTGCTAACCTAGTAGCCAGAATTGGGCGCGAGGGGGTAGGGGGGGGAGGGGGGTGAAGACAAAAAGACCCCTCAAAAAAATTTCTAAAAAAAAGTTGAACTTGGTCCGCCCTGTTAATTTTAGGAAACAATATGCCGGTTTTTTTTCAACCCCCGCCTCCCGCTCTCCTGACCACAAGTTGGAGAGTATAGAAGTACCTGCCTATCTCTGTTAGTAGCCATTGAGACAAAAGAGAACTGCGCAAGGAAGATAATGACTGAAGGGAACCGGGGATGGTCGAGAAAGGTAATAGAGTAAATTTTGTCAGGCAAAGGATCAGTTGGCAAATCAAGAACGAGATGCTCTGATGTGTATGATTCAAACAAAAAATTACTTTTTTAAAATTAGAAACCAAAATAAAATTAACAACAACAATTGACTCAAATAATTACTACCTGAATTATTAGGTTGAACCGAACGTAGTGGGACACTTTTTATTTATTTTTCAACTGAAAATTTTACAAGAAGTAGTAAAGTCTATGATTTGAAATATGGTACGATGAAAAGTGTCCCACTACTTTCGGTTCAATTTAATAATACAGTCTTGCCAGCAATTTACAAGCTTTTTGATTCCACGATTTTAGAATTAAGGATTCCTGTAGTTGATGAAGTTTTTGAAGGTGTTCTTGGCGTCGCCTAGGTTTTTAAAGTGCTATCTATTGAGAAACAATGCCAGGTTTTGGAATAGATAATAGTGAATACAAAGAATGATCTAAGATTTTGTAGCCCAACTCCGTGAGCTTTGCTACAGTCTTCTTTGCAACGTAGGGCCTAGCGTTGACTTGGAGAAGTATTGGGCCTTTCTTTTTGATTATTATAAGACGATTATGTTTCAGCTTGTCTATTTGATTACAGTAGCTATCAGCTGTCATATATGAGTTTAACGTGGTTTTATGACCCCTTCCGGATCACTCTTCAGTTACACCAACAGACAGTCACCGTCAGCGTTTTTTCTTGCAGTTCCGGCTTTGGTAGATTTTATGATACTCAGTTTTATTCTATCATATTATTATATTATTAAGCATTGTACTATATCTGTCTTATGACTCACACAAAAAAAACTAGATCTCAACAATTACAAGATGAATAGGCTACAACAAGTTACACAAAAATGATGACTATCATAAGCTCCTTGAATCAACACGCAAATTATCATTGTAATCTTTGCTTGTTAACAAACAATGACTCAGCCGCGAATAAATAGCAACCGGAAGCCGGAAACGGACGAGAGGATTAAAGTCTCGCGCAGATCGGTCATTCCCGTCCCGTGTTGTTCATTCCCTTGTTTATTAACCCGCCCCGGTTGGCTTGAATTAAAGTCCTCGACTTGGAGTGGGTTGACGTGTTTTTGAGCGGGCCGCGTGATGGAGGATAGGTGGTTAGATTTTTTAAAATTTTTTAAAAGTTTTTTTGTAGTTTCCGAATTATGAAAAGTATGTGTGAAGCTACAGTATGAGTACAAAATGTTCAAAAATTTCTGTTGTAAGGTGTCCCAGTAGCAGTAGGCTTTTAATATGGCCAAAAATCTATCTAACCAATACTGTAAAATTAATTTAAAATTAAAAAAATTTTTTTTAAACTTTTTAAACACGTTGTATGTTTCGAAAATCTGCGCGATTTGTTTACGAAAACTAAAACGTTTTGTAGTTATTTGATATTTTTTCGTATTATTATACTTCTTGTTACCTTCTAATTTTATAAAAATCAGTTATACAGTAAGACTCATGTATAACAAATCGCTCAGAGATTTTTAATTTGTTTTTTATTAAACAGTTTTGTTATAAAGGAGCTTTAAATGCATTGCGTAGTATTAGCAGAAGATTTGAAAGTTGTTCGTTACAGGAGTTCCTTATATAGAGCTCCTACTGTACTTGTTACTCTTTAATTTAAAACACATCGGTTATACAGTTGAACCCCTAGTTTGAACCTGTATAACTAACAACTTTCATATCTTCGACGAACGCTACACATTGTTCAGTTGAATCCCTGCATGACAAACGTTTGGGAATTTTAAATCTGATTGTTATATAGGAGTTTCGTTATATAAGGGTTTTAAATCTCCGACCAATACTACATATTGTCGTTAAACAGGGGTTTGTTATAATGGAGTTATATTGCGTAAGATAGCTAGCTAACCTACGTTGTATTTCATCATTTTAACCAGGATGGCTTGGAGAAGGGATTTTAAAGTTGTTTGTTTCACAAAATCTTCTTTAAACAAGAATTTTTTCTTACCTTGTAGTATAAGAAATCCACCTAATTTAAATTGACGTATTTTACCATAATAATTTAAGAACACTGTTTGAGATTTTGTTTAAAATATTTCTGGCATTTGTTAAAATGAATAAAACAGCAAATGCGATAACATGTTAACTATAAACCGAGTTTTTAACAAATGATATTGACTGTTAACATATGATATTGACTGTTAAGTTTCTATAAGTTTTTTATTGAAGTTAGTTACTATAATTGCTTTTAAAAATTCCAATTGCGTTTTATTGTTACTTTTTAATTATTGAAACAATTTTGAATTTTCAGATCAATATTGTGTGGATCTTCACCGAACGCAATAACCTCGAAAAGAATCCGTTTGTCCTTTTCGAGGGGTTTTTTCAGCTCCCAGAAGTTTGCTGTGAACTGCGGTCAGGAAGCGCAGAATGCGCGTTTGGCTGCTGTTGCACGGAGTTGCGGGTAAGTTAACGTTTTTTATGGACGTGTAATTTTTTTTTCAATTTTTAAAATTTTTTTTGAAAAAAATTGTAATTTTTGGTTGAGACATGATACCAACAGTAAAAAATGATTCTTACACTAAACTGTTTTAGCTCTGTGTACAATAGGACATAGTGCAATATTTAACAAATTATCACATGCAAAATCTACTACAATATCCCCAAAATCAACAAAATCATTGTCGACAAACACGATAAAACTGGGTCAATTATGTATGACAGTAGAGCACTTCCGTGCATTTCCAAATGATACTCAGAGTTTCTACGAATGTGCACCATTAGCTGAAGAAGAGCGTAAAGAATATGACATACAAGGAAAGTACCTTGGTATATGGACAAAGCGAAAATGTTCTGCAGAGCACGCTTTTGATGCCGGGAAACAAAAGTGCGTTGATAAGAAGAAACTTCATAGGCATCGTGCGCAATGTCAATTGAATCCTGGTACTACGGGTTGTCAACAGTACTGTCAACCAACGGAATGGGCTCAACCTCAGGTTGGAGCGGCATGTAACTGGCAGTATAGTTTGTTGTATTACACTCCGGAAGACACACATGGATTTTTACAGTGTGCTCAGACTAGTGCTTCGTAAGTTTAAATATATAATTGTAACGTATAATGTACATGATGGCAACGGAAATTTTTTTATTTGAATATAATTGAAATACTTAAATATTTGTAAAAATTTATGACAAACTTTGGCTTGTTTTATTAATACTACGTATTTTACAGTGACCCTTGTGGTGAATGGATCCGAATCGATTGCCCAATAAACACTGCTTTTGATATCAACATACAATTGTGTATTCCGTTAGTATTTGAAGTTGATACATGTTCAGCAGCAAACCAAGTAGCTGTATGTAAATGTGGAACTAATTCTCATACTTGTCCTGGAATTTCACAATGCACTAACGTATGTTGTTTTAAATATAAAATTTTTTTAAAAGCAATTTAACTTAAAACGTATTTTACAAAAATTTATAAAAAAATTTTACTTTTGAAAAGTTCTGATTTTAAAAGTTACTTGTATATCTATGTAATTTAGAACGTATGCTGCGCTACTGTAAACCCATACGATTTATTGTCATATGACAACCCGTCATCGTACCAAGCGTCAACTTCAGTATGTGCTGGTAGTGGAACATACCCTGTTTCTATGTGCAATCCCAGCTGTCCTCCAAGTATGTTTTATATGCCGTAGTTATTTATATCGTATTTTAAAAAGGAATAGCAAAACATTTTTAAACATTACATATAAGTCTTATGCTTATAAATATAATATTATTTACCTCAAATATAAACTTCCCAAGACTTTTACAAGTTATACCTTTAATATCAACATTTAAACACATGACAACCTAAATTTAAGCCTATACCTGCCAACCAAATGTGGGTTGTTGTCCAGTCATATCCGTAGTGCCAGCGGCACCCACGCCAGCCCCAACACCAGCTCCAGTTGCTCAAACGCCACAAACAATTGTTTTACAATTAACAAGTTGTCCAGCAAGCAATTCTCAGCCAGTTTCATCATGTGGTTCTTGTCCTACTGGCTACATTTGTGCTCCTTTACTTGGGGCTTGTTGTCCGGCACCGGCTCCAACAACTGCTCCCGCACCACCACCTCCGCCGCCTCCACCACCATCACAACCAATTGTCATGCTTTGTTCTAGTAGGTTTACTTATGGAATTTTTTTAACTTTAAAGTCATCGTTACAAGTGAAAAAACTTACTTTTTTTTGTTTTACATCAAAAAGATAACTAAAACACTTCCAGATGGCCAAATGCCAACCTCAACGTGTGCTCCATCTTCTCCTTGTCCAAGTGGTTCGAGTTGTACTAACGGTGTTTGCTGTCCATGCCAATGCCCACCGAACACCATGATGTTGGGTATTTGTCTACCGGCAGCGCCGGCTCCTTCAGCACCTACTCAAGCACCAGCTCCTGCTCCGTCGCCTTGTTCATCCAGCGGTGCTATGTGTTACAACGGATGTTGTTGCTCTGCTCCACCGAAGATGCCCGTTTGTTCAAACGGCCAAATGTCTGCTCAGAGTTGCGCCAGCACGGCGGTAAGGTTTTAATTGGCTATAGTAAAACTTTTGATAATCTTTTGTAAATCTATGAAGGATGCGTCCTTTTATTTGTACTTCCATACCTGATGTTATTTATTTGTAGCAATGCGGATCAGGAATGGAATGCTCTAACGGCGGATGCTGCCCCATCCCCTACTGTCCAACCGGTCAACAAGCAATTGGTCGTTGTTCACAAGGTCAAACCTGTGGCGGAGGTAACACAATTTGCTTGGAAGGCCTATGTTGCACTCTCCCAACTTGTTCATCCGGACAACCAGCACAATCAATATGTACTGCAACTACCCAATGTCCACCTCAAACCGTCTGCCAAAATGGAGGTTGTTGCGCTTTACCAATGTGTCCTACCGGCACTCCAGCGTCTTCAACATGTTCGTCATCCTGTTCTCAACCTCAACCAATTATAATTTCTATACCTGCAATAGCTTCACCTGCACCAGCGCCACCAATGCCTTCACCTCAACCGGTGACTTCTTGTTGTTCAGCTGGACAGCAATGTGTTAACGGAGGTTGTTGCACATTACCAACATGTTCTACATCATCACAACCAGCTATTATGTTATGCACAGCAACCACACCTTGTCCATCTGGAACTGAATGCAGTGGTAGAGGATGCTGTCCTTTACCATTGTGCCCAAGTGGTCAACAAGCGCAGCAAAGATGTAGTGTTAGTACGCCTTGTCCAGTTGGTACTACCTGCACTAGTGGACTATGTTGCACATTGCCAGTATGTACATACGGTGGACAAGTAGCTAGCAGTTTTTGTGGTACATCTAATGCATGTCCCACTAATTATTATTGTGAACGTGGGGCATGTTGTCCTGAGCCAATACCTTTATGTCCGTCTGGTGGTCGTTCTGTTATGCAGTGTGTACGAGGGTCAGACTGTCCAACTGGGTATGGATGTACGGCTTCTGGAGGTTGTTGTCAATTGGTCAATGACTTTATATGCCCGATTAATGCATTACCGGTATGTCAATGCAGTCCTACGATGTCTTGTCCGGTCGGCAGTGCTTGTAACTCTGGAATGTGTTGTACTACAAGTAAGTGGATTTGAAAATGGCACTATCCGCTAAAATTTTTCAATAATACGTTTTTTAGTCTAGTCAAAGTATAGCTACTTGAAGTGCTTGTCTGCATTTGGATATTTGCATTGTTTTTGTGGAGATATGATATTCCTCTACTATACTGTTATTAACCTTACTTTTTAGGTCCATCAGTAGCAATGGCAGCGCCAGGGACAGGTTGTCAAGCTTCTCAACAATGTTCAGGCTACTCTTCTTCAGGTCCAGGTGCCTTATGTCAAGGTGACATTTGTGTTTGTATTAAAGGTGCTTTCTCTAACGGAGCCGCTTGCAAATCGGAATCACCATTGGTGATTAACATTGCTCGTGGAGGCTGTGATCAATATGGCAGTCCATGTAAATATATGTTAAGTTCGGCTAGACGACGTCCAGTGTTTTCTCCAACCAAGAATGCTACTGATACACCGTGTAAGAATTTTTAAAAGTTTTTTGGCCAAGTTCTACAATTTTAAAATTTTTTTTATTAGAACGGGCTGAGTAAAATAAAAACCTAAACAAAAATGACTCAAAAATTGAAATTTGTACCAAAATTTCCAGTATGGTACAACACAGCGGCAGCCACAATAAGACGTTGCCCAAGATCTTCGCCAGATAATTCGACCAGTCCTGATAACACATGCTTACCAAATGAAACTTGCGTCAAAGGGGAATGTAAAGTGTAAGTTTTGTAACTTTGTTGTAGTTTGTAACGGTTGTTTTAAAAAAAACAGTTGGACGTATTTTACAATTTTTATACAGTAACCCCTTTTTAGTATGGCCATCAAAAGTGTGACACCCTTCTTATAATGATAGCTTTTTGACCGCTTTTCGTAATAGAAGTCGTAGTAAAAATTACTTGGGTAGTGTGACACCTAGTTAAAGCTGGTGTTGCTATAATAATTTACCTTTGTAGACGTCTCTGGCCAGGGGAATACGGGTGCGATTCAAATGAAGAATGTATGTCAAGATGCTCGAATACTTATTGTGAACACAAAACTGATAAAGGTGTTTCACAATGCCAATGCTCTAATGGTTTACTGCTTTATGGACGTTGTTGTAGGTTTAACTTTCGTTTCTTTAAAATTCGAAACATTATTGAGCATTGTAAAATACGCTTTATATAACAATGACCGAAAATAAAAATTTTAAAAGTCAATGTTTAAAATCAAAGTTAAAAAATTTACCAAATTTTATTTTAGTCGAAGTATGTCCAAAAGGTTTTCACGAAAGCGGCGCTGTATGTGAACACGACGATGAAGATGCGTTTTGGGCTAGTCCGGCGGCCCAAAATGCGTTACAGAAACTGTTGAACACGGGTAGTTGTTAAAAATGTTATATTAACTTGTTTAGACATGTGAACGGGTTTGACCGAGCTAATTTTTTGAGGGGTGGGGTGGACCCCCCAAAAAAAAATTTCGAAAAAATTTGAACATGGTCCCACTGTGAATTTTTTAGAAATAAATTTTTTCGACTTTCCAGACTAAAAGTCCCCGCCCGGCCCTGGTCCGGCCTATCGGTCAATCCTTGGGCTCTCTTGTGTCGGCTCCGCCTAGTAATTTTAAAATGATGCGCCCAGCCAGTTTTAACCGGGGATGGAACGGGCTGATCAGGGCTGGGCTAGGCTAGGCCAGGCCGGGAATAATGAATCCTTCTTCAGGCCTAAACTTAATTAATAGTTATATAATAGTACGTGTATTTTTTTTATTTTGTACTGTCTTGAGTTGTCTTACAATCAATAGATAAAAACCTTGTGTTACCGTCTCTAAAAGCTTTATTATGTTGTTTTATAGTGTCTTTCTACTGTTTTAACCTCAAAGAGTATTTGAATATTGTAGTTGTTAAAAGTTACGAACTTAAGAAAACATGATAACATACTTTTACTATTTTAATGTGCCATATTATATGTTTTAATAGTAATGTCTTAATAAAATACTTATGCCAGTTGATATTATTAATTATTTATTTTTCATAACAAGAGAAGGACCCGTTATATTAACAACTGAGTTTACAGTGGCTTCTTTATGATAAAAGAAGGAACGACGAAGAGAAATGTACAGTAATTAACATTAAAATATGAAAAATTTACATTAGCCATATAGTATGTACGCAGATATAGTATGCACGTAAGTATAGTAAGTACGTATGCTATGTTCGTTTACTTTAGTACTTTTAGTGTTGTGAATAGCAAGTCTATCTCACTGAAAAGTTAACATACGTACGTAGTGACATTGTAAAATTGGCTTTACTATTATTTACATAACAGTACAGTAAAAGCCCTTACTCGGTCATAATATAAACATACGAACATCACAGTATAGTAAAAGCTCTTACTTAGTTGTAATATGAACGTACGTACATAACAATCCAGTAAAAGCTCTTACTCGATAGTAATACCAACGTACTTACATAACAATACAGGGCCAGTACGTACTCAATAGTACTATAAACATACGTACATAACAATGCAGTAAAAGCTCTTACTCGATAGTAATACCAACGTACTTAAATAACAATACAGGGCCACCACGTACTCAATAGTACTATCAACATACGTACATAACTGTAAACCAAACATACGTAAGCTTACCAGAGTAAACGTACGTGCAGGTATATGGCTACGAAACGTGAGTAATGTAAACAAAGATACGAAGATGTACGTCAAAGACATGATTTAATATGGTAAAGAATAATATTGGCACAATTTTTAGAACAAAATTCCCTCGTATTTTAGGTTTTTGAAATCGTATAATGGATAATTTTACAATTGGAAGTTTAAAGCGGTAAAAAGATAAAAATGACATTGTTAAATGCATTTACAGTATGATACAAATAGTGATATTGTGATGTAACTTGAGACTGTGACATAGTACGGTACTCAATACGTACTGTAAGTTAGTACGGTACTAAAAATACTGTATTGTATACGGTACCTTAATATTATTTAGCTACAGTACGGTACTTCAAACGTACTGTAAAACAGTAACGTTCTCAAGCAGTATTATACTATACCACAGTACTAAGCCAACGTACCTTAACTATAGTACAGTAAAATAAAAAATAAAAAAAGCTTGAAATTGTTAAGGCACTCGATTCAAATAGTCATCAGTAACAATAACTGTCGATTTCGTACTATATGTGTCGAACTGATCGTTGTTTGGTAGTGATCCCAGCCCAAATTTACCCAAATTGCGCTCCATGGTGCTTACAAGCTAAAAATCGAAAATTTAAATTTAAAAATTGTAAGAAATCAATATTGACATTTCGTCTTTTTTAAACAAAATGGCATTTTTTAAAAACTTAATAGATTCCAAGACGTATTTTACATTAAAAAAAAGGTAAAAAATGAAAACTCAATATTGACATTTCGCCAAAAATCAACATTGACATTTCGTCGTTTTTGATACAAAATCATTGTGAAACGTCCTTAAACCTACTCAACAATACTCGTATTTTACAATTCAAAATTAAAAAAAAAATAATTTGAAAAATCGATATTGACACTTCGTCCACTTTTACTTACTTTTCGCTTCCTTATCAGCATCTTAAAGCAGACAAGTTTAACATATAAAAAGTAGATTTGTACTAAAAACACCAAATTCATAGCACATAACAAGACAATCATCGGCCATGTTACAGTATCCGCGTCAACAATCAACGTGGTTAGTCGAGCGATTAACCACACAAACGTCGCTAGCACTAAACCCGAACAGAGAAGATAAGGCAACTGAAGATATGGCAATACGGCTTTTAGTGATATTACTGCTGTTAGGCAGGTTGATAACCATAAAATCTGAAAATACAGTAATACATCACAATATTCAAAAAAGTAAAGAAAAATGAGATTCTGCTTACTGTAGCTGTAACACACCCTACCCTACCCTACCCTACGCTTTATGTTTTACTACAGTACCATGCTCTACAATATCTCGCCTTGTCTTACCTGACTCTAGTCTGTCCTACCCTACTTTACCCTACTCATATTTTAGTCCCAACCCTAGCCTTACCGTCACCATGCCTCAGCCTCCTTACCCTAGTTTTGTCTCTGCCCTTACCCTTGGCCCTCTTTTATCACATGCTCTACCATAGTAGATACATTGACCCTACGCTACCTTACCCTACCCTCCACTCTGCCTGTAGTATAAAAAGTACTGTACCTTCTACCTTACTGTACCTTTAATAAACAAAACATCAATATACCCTTACCTGAATTCCGAGTAGCGGCGTGAGCATCCCATAAGGCGCTACAGTGTTGAGCAGTGCATTACTCTCGGCGTATTTTACATCTCCGCCGATTAAATTCGTAATCGTGAATATTAAGGAATGTGAAAGTAGAAGCAGGTCTAATACGACAAACGACACGAACGTTGACTGCACCATAAACAATCCGAAACAACAATGCGAGCGACTGGTTGCGGTACCATTTGAAGAACAACTATCCTCTTGCCCTGTGCCCATTAAATGCCCAAAACACCCTCTGAAGCGATTATTTTGGGTGATCGTTCTGAAATTGAGCAATATTGAGTAAAGATGCTAAGCTAAGAACATCATGGTTTATATAATCGCGATTGAAAACACACATAGTAAAATTGCAAAAATAAATTTTTAAATTTTCAGTTTAGGATAAACATAAATAGAACTAAGATCGAATTTTGGTAAAGGCAAATTTAAAAAGCAGAAATTTTTTTTCCAGCATTGTAGATTTTTTAGAAAAACTTTCGAAAAAAATCGACACAGGTAGCTGCTCCCCCGCCCCCAGACCAAAAGTCCCCGCTCGGCCCTGTCCACTATAGTAAATTTTTTAAAAGTAAAGTCCAAAAGACAAAGAGATAAAAAAGATAAAGCACTTGTTGAATAAGCTAACTTATTGATATTGTTAAATGCGAAGGCTGAAGCTAAGGTTAAAGCTAAGGCTAAAGCTAAGGCTAAGGCTAATGCTAAGGCTAAGGCTAAGGCTAAGGCTAAGGCTAAGGCTAAGGCTAAGGCTAAGGCTAAGGCTAAGGCTAAGGCTAAGGCTAAGGCTAAGGCTAAGGCTAAGGCTAAGGCTAAGGCTAAGGCTAAGGCTAAGACTAAGGCTAAGGCTAAGGCTAAAGCAATGATGAAGGATAAGGTTAATAATTAACCTAAGGCCATAAAGTTATTACAAAGATCTTTGTAATAACTTTATATGAGACCTACTTTTGTTAAAATCTGAAAAAAAATTTTTTTTAATTTTGCAGGTTTTCAATTATCAAATCAAAATCCCATAAAAACTAAATTAAGCAATGTATACCACCCAGTAAATAAGTGAATAAAACTAATTTTACTTTTTAAAAAAATTTACAAGTATAAGAAATATGTAAGCAAATTATTTACGTGTAAACCCCACGAGAAGAGTCCACTTTTCACGGCCAGACGTCGGGAACGACGGCGAAACGTTCGAAAAAAGATTTTTCGGAAAAAGGGCTTTCACAAAAACATTAAATTGCAAAAAAAATGTTTTGATACGTCTACACTTGTGCCTCAGGCTAAATTTGGCGTGATATGAAAAGTTTAAACGTGTTAGACAAAGTGGATTTTGGTCAGACAAAAAGTTTGGCAAAATTTAATCTTGAAAAAATCTAGGCTAAGAAATAAGGCTAAAACTAGAATTAAAACTTGGACTAGTGTTAATTTTAAGATTAAGTCTAGAACTGGACCTAGAAGCAAAGCTAAAGCTAAAACCATGGCTAGGTCTAATACTATGGCTAGAGCTAAAACTAGCGATAGGAATAAGGCTAAAGCTAGTGCTAGTACACAGTAGAAGCTAGAAACAAAGCAAAGTAAGGGCTAGGACTAAGACTAGAACCAGGGTTAGAAACTAAGGTCAAAGCTGAGGCTACGGCTGAGTTTGAGACTAGGACTTTGGGGGTAAAACAAAGACCCTCGGCTAAGACTGTAGGCTAAGGTTCTAGGTTCTAAGCTAATGTTCTGGGACTAAGGCGTTAGGGGTAAAACTCTGGCCTGGTGCTGAAGATATTGTTGAGCCAAGACTCTGGGCTAGGGCTCTGGGCTAGGGCTCTGGGCTAGGGCTCTGGGCTAGGGCTCTGGGCTAGGGCTCTGGGCTAGGGCTCTGGGCTAGGGCTCTGGGCTAGGGCTCTGGGTTAGGGCTCTGGACTAGGGCTATGAGCTAGGGCTCTGGGCTAGGGCTCTGTGCTAGGGCTCTGGATTAGGATTTTAAAATTTAAAATTACAAAACAAAGCAATCAGTCAAAAAGTGTAAAACAATAGACAAAGGTGTGATATCATTAGGAATTCGGCCGTTTTTGTGTTATTAAAACGAGGGCTTTAAAAAGCACGTTCTTTTAATTTCAGCCTTTACGTCACAGCAAAAAACAAAAATAATGCGATAAGAATTGTAAAATACGGTTTGGAAATCTGCTTTTAGTAACTACGTAGAGAGTTGCTTACCCTACCCTACCCAGTTCTAACGTGCCTTGTCTTACTCTACCCTACGTTACTTTACCCAACCTTTGAAATTTACATCATATATTACTGTTGAAAATGGAAAAAAGGACCTTTTCACAAAAGAAATTTTTTTTTAGTTTTAAAATTTTTTTCAAAAATTAAAAAAACAACCCTTGCTAAACCCAAAAACCTTCAAAACATCATCAGAAAATAGATAACCCAGTCAAATGCGTTCACAATTCCATAACCCGCTAGACTAGGGTGCTTATGACGCACCTTCATTAAATCGAACACTTTCCCCATCCCCTCAGGGGTCTTAAAACCACCTTCATAAAACATTTATAACACTATCGCCTATGGCAACTTTGAAAAATTGTTTTAAATAAAAAAATGTAAAATTTTGAAAAATGGTGCTGTTTAGTACTGGGTAGTGTTAAAATACTAAGACATACCAAAAATTTTTAACATTTGAAGTTACAGTAATCCTACCGTAACTCAAAATATAAAAAAGAGAAAATATGCTTTTTACAATAAATACTAACTACTATAATACACCAAAACGGTATAAAATAGATAATTTTTTTCCTAATTGTGTCCCGCGACGATTACCCTGCTTTTCAAGAATACTGAAAAAATCCTTGAAAACCTTTTAAAACATCTAAAACTTATTACGCAAACAAAAAGTAAGCTTTAAAAACTACAAAAATATTGGTATCAAACAACTTGGGTCTTACCACGATTACCCTGATTTTCAAGAAAAAACGTTAAAATCCTCTTAAGACATTTAAAACCATCAAAAAATCATTAAAAAAGCAAAAAATTATTGCCAAACTCTCCTCAGAAATAATCCTTCATCAAATTGTGTCCTACCACGATTACCTTGATTTTCAAAAAATGTCGCAAAACTTGCGAAAAATCCTAAAATTTAAAAAAAATCATAACCTAAATAAATAAAAGTACAAGAAGCATTGTAAAAAAACAATTTACCCTCCCTTAACAATGATTAAAAACACCAAAAATGCTACAACATACTCCCAGAACACGAACATATATCACTAAATGCAAATTCATTCACGATTATATTAATATCGGATTTTGACGTAGGTCTTCTTGAGATCTCGTCCATCTCGACCCTTTCGTTCTCGCAAAAGCGTATTGTTTTTACAAGGTAAACAATATATTATTACAATCATTACTTAAGCAATCATTTTTTCGCTTTTTCGTGGGAAATTTTGAATTTTAGGGAAAGCCGGACTTTAGAAGGTCTTGGAAAGTTGAAAAACAACAAGAAAGGTGCTTATTAATTTAAAAAAAAAAAAGTAGTTATTACCACACTCACCCATTCAGATTAAAAACAAACGCGCGGACACTGTTATTATTAAGTGCCGACTTAAAGAACCCGCCATTTATTTTGATTTTCAAAATTATGGCGGGTTCTTTATGTCGGCACCTAGTATTAGGTTGAACCAAAAGTTGTGAGACACTTTTAATTTATTTTTAAAATAAAAAGTGTCCCGCTCTTTTTGGTTCAACTTAATAAATAAAAATGTACGTTTTGATTTTTGAATGGAAAGTCAAACTCGTATTTTACAAAGTTTGAAAACTTGAAAAATTGTCTGAAAAACCAAAATTTTTTATTTCGTAGTACATAAAACTGTTTCCCAAATCTTTTTAGAGCGTATTTTACATTAAAAACCTAAAATTTTCAAAAATTTAATTACTTATCAGAAAAAAAATTAAAAACGAAAAAAAAATTGTTGAATAAAAGAAAAATTTATATTTTTACAGAAAATAAGAATAAATAATTGTGTGTCGTAAACGCGTGATTGTAAAATGAAGTGTTTTGCTGTTTACTAGTGTCGTAAAAGACACTTTGCCCTCACAAAACTCGTAAATCAAAAAGAAACAAAAACCCTAGATTTCAATTCAAAAGAAAAAAATTAAAATGATCTTTTTAGCTAGTCTACAAGATTTTTAAAAGTGTGGACAAACCACTGGCACATAAAAACTTTTATTATATATAATAGAGGGTCTTCTTGGACTAAGACTAAAGCTAAAGCTATAACTAAAACTAGGGCTAGCGCTAAAACCAGGATTACAGCTAAATCTACAGCTAGGGCTGAAGCTGGGATTGAGAAAAATACTGGGGCAAGATCCGGGGCAAGGACAAAGAATAAGGCCCTGGATCGGGGCTAGGGCTCTGATCTAGGGTTCTTGGCTAGGGCTCTGAGCTAAGGCTCTGGACTGGTACTCTAAACTAGGGCTAGGGCTCTGGGCTAGGGCTCTGAGCTAGGGCTCTGGGCTAGGGCTAGGGGCTCTGGGCTACGTCTAGAGACCTTTATTTCCTCCCTTGATCTACCCTCATAAAATATTTTAAAAAACCTCTGCCCTAACCAGCTCAGAAATTCTATTTTTAACATTATATAAAGCCTTCTCTCATTTTTATAATTATCAGATTCCTCCCCCCCCCCCCCCCCCCCCCAATAACAACCTCAAAAAACGCCTGCCCCAGCTACCCAGCCCAAAAAACTTGGCCACAAAGACATTTGTCATTTGGGCAAAAGAGGTGCAATTACCAATCTGTGAAATGTAATTAAGTAATGTGAAGAGCGTTACCATAGTAATCACAAAACGAATTACATGTTATGTAAAGTCTATTGTCAAGTCTGGCCGTAGTAATGAACCCTGAAATTACAACAATAAGTATGGGCTTGAAACTACAATTTTAGTGTGGTATGTGAGAGCGCGGTAGTAGCAACATATTTTGACACTACCACCTATGATGATATAGTAATAGCAAGATAATCGTATTTTGAAGAAGGTCGAAATAGATAAAGTTATGTAAAATACGGTGCCGTGCGTCAGCATAATGTTATCTTATCGAAAAAACTTCATAGTGCTATATAGTATCAGTACTCTTCAAAACCAGTACTATGCAGTTTTAGTACTCAGTAGTATCAATAAAACAACGTATTAATACATTTTGACTTCTAAGGCAAAAATAGTTATAGCACAATATAGTATCAGTACTGTTCAGTATCAATAAAAACTTCAATACTGAATAGCATCAGTGCAATATACTATTAGTACGTTTCTTAAGTATAGTACCAACACAGTACTGCCATAACGTTGGAAAAAATAATACTATATAGTATCGATGCAATATAGTACTAGTACTATTCAATATCAACACAATACAGCTTCAATACTGAATAGTATCAATGCAATATAGTATAAGTACGTTTTGTTAAGTATAGTACCAACACAGTACTGCTATAACGTTAAAAAAAATAATACTATACAGTATTAGTGCAATGTAGTACTAGTACTTCAAATATTCACTACAGTATGTTTAAAAATACAGTATAAAAAAGTCAGATGTAAAATACGGCCTGCTCATCTTAAAGTTTATTCTCCCTTAACATCACTATATAACACTCATTTACATTGTAGTAACCCATGTAGTAACCCTAATGTTCATAAACCAGAACACAAGTCCGTTTTCTTGTTGTACAAATGTAAATGTAATTACCACTTAACCCAAGAATAGTAATAAGAAAAGAAAAAGGAAGTAAACCACTTTTACATGTGAAGCATTATCATGACGAGGAAATAAGTAGAATAATTGTCAAGTACAAGGGTTTTTAGTTAATACATATAATTATAACAAAAATAAACAAAAAAGTAAAAAGATGT